CACACACACACACACACACACACACACACACACACACACACACACACACGCACACACCTCACTCCCCTTTATGGTCTCCATGGCAACACCCATGAGAATCTAACAGAATCTTTCTTCTACATGAGCTACACCTGCTGCACTCTCTCAAACAGCCACATTGTTTCAGTCACGCAGAACTTTTCCTTCCTTGCTCGCAGTCCATCGTGTGGCAGCACGATGATAAAAGGATGAGCCGTTATTAAAGGCCCTCAAGCTTGTCTTGAATCATGGCACCAGTGATGAGGAGGGAGGCCAGGAACCTGACAGGAAAGATGCTACAAAGGAGAAAAGAGTCTGAACTTTGAGGACAACACAGAACAGGACAACTGATGTGTGGTCAGATCAGCTGTGAGGAAGAGGCTCCTGCTGAGGTTGCAGTTCTGTCCTGTTTTGTTAAAAGAATGGGGGGGGGGGGGGTTATACAGTATTTCTCAGTCTTTATACTGCCACCTGTGAGAAAAGTTGGATTCTCACCTGAATGGAGTTCATTTATTTAAAAGCACTCAGATTTTTTACTAGATACTAAAACTGTGCTTCTGACTGAAAATGTTCTGATGGGAATTTTATTGTTTTATTTTTTTACAGTGACTGTCTTTTTTTACAGTGTTCAGACAGTAAAAYTAAAAAAATGGTTAAATTTTCAGCTGCAATTTTGAACATTGAACTGTCAAAAGACAAACGTTCGATGGTGTAGTCTGTYTGTACGATTGTAAACTTTCTCTTGTCTGGGTCATAACTTCTAATCTGCTCCACATAATTGAATGAAACTTGATGCACATATGCATCATCACAGACTGAATTAAATATTAATGTCCTGTACACATTCAAGGTTCAGGCTCACAAAACAAGGTCAAAGTTAAAACAAGGCTTTTGCTTGTCCGGGCCATAACTTATCGTACACTCAAGATCATTTAGTAAAACTTGATACACATCCTGTTTAGCAATAGACTAAACAATGCAGCATTGTGGGGAATAGATGACATTATGATGTACAATTGGTGAGGATTTGAAAGACTAATGATGTCATTATCAGTCTTTTTAATCTTTCTTGATGCGATTTTTGCCAAATGAAAATTCAGGGGTTATCGCAGACAAATCTCAGATCCACATTGAGGGGATCTTGTGCCATGTGGCCACAAAACTAAGGTTAAACACAAAAAGCAACAGCCTGCAAATGTTTTTTTTTGCATCATTCCACAGTCATGATTCATTGGGCCTCATGCAAGAACATGCTTGTATTCTTATCCTAAATTTCTCTTACTTTTGTTCGTACAAAGGGTTCGTACGAACATGTCACGTCAGATTCAACAAACTCTTCTAACTTCAGGAAAAGTGTGTAAATGAGCTGCGTAAATT